TGTCTCTTTCTGACCTAACGATGGAACTTATGCGCGTCTTAGATACGCACGAAGCCACACATATCTTCGTCTGTTCATATCTTCGTCTCACTCTCTATCTTTATCGCAACGGCTTCTTTCTGCTCTTCTTCTCTGTCTCGCTGTTTTATACACACACACACACACACACACACACACACACACACACACACACACACACACACACACACACATATTAGTAATGTTTATTATATGTCTTTTCATACTTGTATATACAATTTAAAAAAACACTTCTAATATAATTTATTTTTTCTAACATAATAAGTTATCAAAAACTCTTTATGTTAAATTTATTGGTTTACTATATTAATTATATTATTTTTCATTCAATATACAGGTCATACAAAGTGTTATAAGCTATTCCTTCGGAATTTATTAGAAATAGTGATAACATTCTTTCTGAGGTCTTTTAAGATTTATTGAGAATGTGAATATGAAATATCTATATTGCTATCAGATCTGTATGAGGCAGAAAAAAGCTAGCTTCCATTTTTCATAAATTATATATAAATTTTTACAAATTATATATCTCTGTGTTTGTGACCTATACAGCTTTTCTCATTTTAAATGTCCCAGGCAAATTTAAAGATAGTTTAAAGAATAATTTAAAGAAAGTTTTAAAGATATTGGAAGAAAAATATTTCAGACAAAAGTCGTAGAGTTCGAGAGAGAGGCCATATTATTATGATATTGATTTATTCGTCGATAAATTCACTACTCAGATTTTTATAGTCGCTAATTTTTTAAATGAAATCATTTCTGTTACATATAATATGATTTATTTCATACTTTCTTTCAAAACTATATGCTTTCTTTATACGAATTGACTTATTTTTTATAAGAGATGTTTAAAGGACTTTCAATAGGCATCCTAAAAGTGTCTTGAAGACTTTGTAAATCATTTCCCAGTGAACATTAAGATGTCTTAAAGACGATTAAGAAACTCCTAATAGCTAACAGATTGTCCAAAAAAGTGTATGGAAAGATATCTAAAAGACATGAAAGATATCTAAAAGACATCTTATGTCCCGACATTTCATTCGTTTTTTCAGACAATTTTTGGATGTCTTATAAGATACTTTCTAGACGTCTTATGAGACAACTTTTGGATATCTTAAAGACACTTTTTAGCCATCTTATCAGATGTCTTTTCGCTGTGTAATAAAACACTTTTTAGGCATCTTTTTTATAATCTCAAAATTTATACTCAATGGACAAAATGTCTAAAATTAAACGCATAAGACAATTTTAAGATATCTTTAAAAATTTTTTAAGAAACATCTTTAAGATATCTCATAAAAAACTCTGAAAGATATTGTTGGAAACACAATATCCAACTAAACTATTGCCGTATTTTTTTTATATCTTTGTACATACTGAATTAATCTATTAACACATTCAGTCGATACGTATTCAATTGATTGATTGAAGTTTACACTGTTCATGTATATCTTCTTTATATTTTTGTACATATTAAACTAATCTATTAACGCATTCAGTCAATAACATATTCAATTGATAATCTCAATAAATAATATAATTTATGTAACCTCTAAGATACAAAATCTTGCGGAATCGATAATACAGCATATAAAAAATGATTTATCACACGCACTTGCATAGTATAATAAAAGAGATACTAGATACTAGAGATACTAGAGATCTTATAAACACAGTGCATTATCAATTATGTATAAATAATAAAAAAGTAGCATGATATTACAAAATTATACTTTTTAAAAAAAGGTAAAAAATGATGTCAAATAAAGGGACATATGTGTCCTACGAGCGGAAATATTGCTAATATAATATATAAAGTCCGATTCGTAAATTTTTACTTTAAGAAACGTAATCATTATTATTTTTATAAAAGATTTGATATCAATAACTGGCACCAAGTTATAGAATTATAAACATTAAGCTACAAATCCACCAGTCAAATTATATATTTGTATAAAAAATTTGATATACCACTATTTTTAAAAAATAAAATCCAAGCAGTAGTATCTTTAATTTAAAAATAATAAAAATCAAATGATATGTATATCTTTTTACCCATTTAAGACTCTCTTTTCTAACCCAAATGGTAGTAATTTTTTAGCTTATAATATTATTATATAACAAAATTGCTTTACTTAACCTAAGTTTTTATCACAAAAAATTAAAGAATAATAATACAAAATAAATGATAAAATTAAATTTAAATAAAAAAATTTTATGTAAAGACACTTGGCGCTGCTTAGATCTTTAAATCAAGAGACACGGGTATCTCGACGCCAAGTTCACGCGCAGCGAAGTTCGCGTAGTACGGCGGCGCCTGTGGCTCTATTTACGCGAGACCCCGGGATGAACTCGGTCTACAATGACTACAATGTCAGAAATGACTGCATTGATTAAGTTTTAATTACGCTTAATCAATAGAGTATCAAATTATATGAGAAAAGTGTTTTTATTTTTTTTCTTCCGTGTTCTACAAACTGAGATATCGCAACGCAATCGTGATGCAAAGTTCAAATGGGTAAATTTAAGAAATGTCCTAGTCGTCATCGTGACTCTCCTTTTTTTCGCAAGAGGCACTAATGAATGTCTCTGTATGATAGTTCTTGCAGTGCTCAATTTTTTGATTTGATATATCTTTGACAGATGTCCTTCGTGTGAAGTTCTACGTATTGATTAATAAAAAAGAAGATATAACATGTGTCACATATAATAGTAAGTAATATTGTAATAATATAATATATAATAATTGAAGAAATAGAATAAGAAATAGAAATAGAAATAGAATTAGATTTTTACAACAAATTACTGACAACAAATGTATTATATTTTTACAAAACTCATTCTTATATAAATATATATAAACAATTTCATTAATTATATTTTTTTATTAATTTAAAAATGAAAA